CTCTCTCATCTTTTTAAGTGGGAGAACTTGCACAATTGGTGGCTGACTAAATACTTTTTTGCCCCACTGTATAGTGCATTGCAATAATCCAACCAGAACAGAGCATTGTGAGGCTGTCTTTGGGGAAGGTCAGTTGATAAATCAGCCAAAGCTGTTGAAAGGCACTCTGTACTACTGAAGCCACTTGGGCCTCTAGTGACAATGATAGATCTAGGACCACCTTCAAACTGCAAACCTGCTCCTTTAGGGGGTGAGTGTGGACCTCTCCAGGCCAGGCAGGGCACCACCCAGCTGGACAGCATCACCACCCACAAACAGTATCTGTCTTGTCTGGATTGAGTATCAATTTATTGGTCCTCATCCACTCCATTATCTTGTCCAGGCACTGGTTCAGAATGCCAATTGCCTCACCTGCATTAGATGAAAAGGAGAGGTAGAGCTGGGAGCAATCCACATATTGATGGCACTTCAGCTCACTGGATGGCCTGTTCCATTGGTTTCATGTAGATGTTAAGAAACCTAGGAGATAAAATGGAGCCCTGAGGGACTATGTAGCCCAATTGTCATGAGGCAGAATGGTAATCCCCCAGCACTGTCTTCTGGAAACAGGCATCCAAGTAAGAGTGGAACCACCATTGTACAGCTCTGACACCCTGTCCAGGAGGATACCATAGTCAATGGTATTGAAAGCCACTGAAAGGTCCAGATCCAGGAGGACTAACAGAGTTGCACTCCCCAATACAGGTCATTCCATAGGGCGCCAACAGTTTCTGTTCTTTAGCCATGCCTGAAACTAGATTGAATATCTGAATATCTCAAAGATCAGTTCCATCCAAGAAAGCCTGGAGTTTTGGCCACCCCCCACTCAAGCAGCTTGCCCAAGAAAGGGCCCTGACCTATAACTATTTTCATCCTCTGAGTCAAGGTTTGGTTTCTTCAGGAATAGTCTAATAAATGTCTCTTTTAAAGAGGCTGGAACCACTCCCTCAACACAGCCCCTCCCTATTAGATTTAATAAGCCAGGAAGGGCAGGAATGAAGAACACAAGTGGGAGATCAAGCACAACAAAGTACCTTGTCCATATCCTCTGGCATCAGTAACTGAAACCTATCCAATAAACAGGACAGGATGGTGCTCTGGACACTTCTGGTGTTGTATTAACCATAGAGGCTAATTCATGGTGAATGCAAACAACTTCATCTTCAAAATGTCTCATGAATTTCTCTGAGCATGCTACTGAGGTACAGCAACCACTTTGTTTGGGCTAGATTGCAACAGATCCATTACCACTCAGAAAAGCTCTGCTGGGTGACACTGAGAAGATGCAGTAGAGGGGAGAAGAAACATTTCTTTGTTGCCCTTTACTGTTAAGGCCTCTAGGCTGGATTTGATTGCATTTGGCATGGGTTTTCCTCCACTTGTGTTCTAGTTGACCCCCCACTTGCTTCGTAGCCCTCAGCTTGGGTATACTGAGGTGCTGCTTGGGTTCTGCAGGCAGGGAGAAAGGTTTAGAAGTTATTGTAATAACTTATAATAATAATGGAGATATTGTTAGATGGCTCCACTATGATTGATCTTCTGCTCTCTCTCTGGGGTTTGTATATTTTAAACTTTTTGATAATATTTTCATTTTAATAATTACTACTTTTTATAATGCTTTTTTCAACCTATTTGCTGTTTTATTTAATTGTTGTATGCGGTCCAAAGTTGCTTTGTGTGAAATGGGTGGCTATTTAAATGTGACAAATAAATAAAATAAATAAATATTGTGTCAACTGCCTAGGATAACTCCGTGTTCCACCAAGCAACCAGGGTATTTACAGGAGCACCAGTCATACCAGCAGGAAATTCCCCCAGAGCCCTCTAGAATCTGGGGGCATTGGTCTCCAGGAGCAGATCATATTTAATGAGTTCCCCCACTCTTTCAAAGGGGAAAAGCTGGTGTCAGTCTGAACTTCACCAGGAAATGATCTGACCATGACATGGGGGTGACCATTAAGACTTCCATGTTCAGATCACCTTCCTCCTGACCGGCTGAGAAAACTATATCCAAAGTATGCCCTGTGATGTATGTTGGACTGATATGTACATATTGTAATTAAAAGATTCTTTATTAAAATCTAATCAATAGCACAGTGCTGCTATCTCTACTTTAGATGTATGATATTCAGTTGGAAGAATTAAATCCCCTGAATTTGCAAGCAGGCCTTATTTTTCTCAGATGAGGCTGGCTGGAAATGTCCTTTTAAGCTCTATACTTCTTGAAACTAAAGCACAAAACCCCAAAGCAGCATGCTTTAATGAATTCCGGCACTACTGCGAGTGTCTTGCAGCAGCCACAGTTCTTGTTCCTCGGTCTCTCAGCTTCAGCAATCAGATCCAGAATGGCTTTCGCTATGCCATGTGTTGCTGAAATCTTGCCACACCACAAAAGCCAGTGCTGGCAGGGATAAACTCTACTGAATGCAAATTAGAAAGAGACAGTCCAATGTCAAGATACAGTCAGGTTGCCCAGACTGCATGAAACTCTCAAAGCTATACTGCTCAAAATTGCTACATAACAAAGTTATCCAATTTACACTTAATTTGCACTCTTATACCTTACACTATAATTGGGATTCTGACTAGAATAGTCACACTATTCTGCCGAGCCAAAACTTGATCCTTACCCATAAATTATGAATAATTTATATAATTTAATTATAAATAATTATAAAATTATTTTTTAAAAAGCTGCAATGAACTGTATGCTGATTCTTCAATTATTAAAGTGTGGCTATTACCACACTGTTCTGGAAAGGAAACATTCTTGTTTCCCAACTTGTCCATATTCTAAAAGAACCTCTGGGTCACTTCCTGCCTGTATAGACTGGTATAAAGATAGATACACTGCTGCATTATACCAGGTTAAACTAGTTGTACTTTTACATTTGTATTGTCTACTG